TTATTGAGATAGAACCTAAAGATCAACCAGGTTCTAATCGTGTTCAAGTGGAAAGTTAGGTAGATGATGAGCTTGAGCAGGTGGAGGTTTAGCAGGAGAATAAACAGGTATTATAACAACAGCAGCTCGAGGATAGCTTGGCTTCCACTAGGCCAAGGCGATCATACAAGCAGGTACAAAAGCTAGGGGCTGATCAACCGCTGAAGCACTATGGGCAGGTTAATTTGGTTGAGTACGCACTCTCGGTGGAGGAAGATGAGCTGGTCTCCTTCAAGCACTATGGGCAGGTTAATTTGGTTGAGTACGCACTCTCGGTGGAGGAAGATGAGCTGGTCTCCTTCAATGAAGCTATTTGGGATAGAGATAGCGAGAGTTGGTTGGCTGCGATGGAGGAGGAGATGGAATCTCTCCGGAAGAACCAAACATGGGAGGTGGTCACATTGCCCGTAGGAAAGAAAGCTATATGTTGTAAGTGGTTGTATAAAAGAAAGGAAGATCCTTCAGAGATCGGTGGTACGAGGTACAATGCGAGGCTAGTGGCTAAGGGGTTTGCACAAAGAGAGGGTGTAAATTATAATGAGATATTTTCTCCGGTGGTGAAGCACATCTCTATTCGGGTGCTATTGAGTATTGTTGCTCATGGTGATCTTGAGCTGGAACAACTTGATGTCAAGACGGCCTTCTTGCAAGGAGACTTGGATGAAGAGATCTATATGCATCAACCTGAGGGCTACAAGGTTGAGGATAAGGAGCATCATGTATGTCACTTGAGGAAGTCACTCTATGGACTGAAGCAGTCTCCTTGGCAGTGGTATAAGCGATTTGACTCCTTCATGCTGAAGCATGAGTTTTTCCGAAGCGATTATGATTGTTGTGTTTACATTCGGAAGCTTCGAGGAGGTGATTATATCTATCTTCTTTTGTATGTGGATGACATGCTTATTGCTTCTAAGAGCAGGATAGAGATAAATAGGCTGAAATCTCAACTTGGTAAAGAGTTCGAGACGAAGGACATAGGCGTTGATAGGAAAATACTGGGTATGGAGATTAGAAGAGAGCGAACGAATCGACGATTGTTCTTAAGTCAGAAGGTCTACATAAAGCGGGTAATCGTGAGGTTCGGGATGCAAAGTGCAAAGTTGGTGGTGACTCCATTGGCTCCACACTTTAGGCTTTCAGGTAAACAATCTCCCATTACAGCGGAAGATAAGACACACATGGAACGTGTTCCTTATGCTAGTGCAGTTGGAAGTTTGATGTACGCCATGGTGTGTACACGCCCAGATAATTCATAGGCGGTTAGTGTGGTCAGCAGGTTCATGGCGAATCCGAGAAAGACGCACTGTGAAGCGGTAAAATGGGCACTGGGAAGCAGTGAAATGGGTTCTGAGGTACTTGAAGGGTACCACAGATACGGGTCTGTGTTTTGGTGGAGACACATGTCAGATCGATAGGTTTGTGGACTCAGATTATGCGGGTGATCTAGATAGACGACGATCTACTACTGGTTATATATTTAGGATACATAGGGCTCCAATTTGTTGGTGATCGATGTTGCAGGTTACAGTGGCACTTTTTACTACAGATGCCGAGTACATGATCATGGCGGAGTGTAACGCCCCGGAATCCCGGAGTCGGTACGCTATTAGATCTGATGGACTGACCTCACAAACCACCATATGTCTTTTCAGCACGTTTTGTCCTCACTCACGCGCTCTCTGGAAAACTTCTCATAGGGTCACCCATCCTAGAATTTCTCCCGGCCAAGCATGTTTAACTTTGGAGTTTCTAAAAGTTGGGTTCCCGAAAAGAAGATGCATCTTGGTGGTATGAGTAGTCCAATCAAATCTATCAGTACTAATCACATCACCCTCTCAAGGGTTGGGGTATTACACGGAGGGAGTAAAAGAAGCATTGTGGTTGTGGGTTCTTCTATACGATTTGGGGATTAAGCAAGAGAACGTGAACTTGTGGTGCGACGGTCAGAGTGCGATTCACTTGGCGAAGAATCAAGTTCACCATGCTCGTACCAAGCATATCGACGTCAGATATCATTTTGTGCGGGATGTCATAGAGGAAGGTGATATTTCTCTCATGAAGGTGCACACGAATGAGAATCCCGCAGACATGTTAACTAAGGTGGTGACAGGCAGCAAGTTCCAATATTGCTTGGACTTGCTCTATATCAGCCCGTGTTGATCTGCCCAAGAGAGCATGGCCTTGCAGGACGGTGATGGAGGAGAGGTGGAGACTATGTTGGAGAATTATTGCAGAACTACGGTTAGCTTGATCCTGGTGGAGGGTACGTAGGCAGCCACGGTATAATAGTGCAGCTGGTTTGGCCTGGATCTTTCTGGTGAAGTTCGTGGTGTTCTTCTGGTATTCGTCCAAAATTTAAGGTTTATCAAATGATGTACGAGGTGGAGAATTGTTGTGAACGTGGGAATAGGGGGTACAAGGGGCTTTTGCCCATGCTGTGAGAGGACAACATGGGGACACAAGTACTTCCTCTCTCCCATGCTCCTATAGCCCTGATGCCCATGCTCTCTGCACCTCT